GTACGATTTTTTTTTCTTTTAAACACGTGCATAACACTTTGTTTTCTCTTTCCAGCCTTTGGTAAGAGCATTCAGAATAACATTGATATTTGAATAGAAAAAGGGGGAAATTATAGAAGAGAGAATTTTCATGGACGATTTCACGAGAAGAAGAGAGTAGTAAATTTTTCCACGTTTGGATTTTCTTAAGTGGAAATAGGAATAATTAGTAATATTGCATGATCAGCCTAAACTCTAGGGATGATGGACGTCACGTTTGGAAATATGTGAATGGATGGACGTGAGGGTGAATTAGCTGTTGATGATAAGAGAGGCAAAGATGCCCAGTATGCCGACGAGGAAAAAGGGACACTTGATGCTAACTCACAAGGGGGACAACGCGTGCCCCAAATCAATTTGGATCGTCACCCTTTTGTGCCACTCCAAAACCCTAATTTGCTTCGCATGTGTGTACGTACAACGTGTGATCTATTGATAGATGCGGCCCTACATGGGTCGGACATAAGTTTGACGGTAGGGATGTAAACCAAGTGTCCGAATCACCATTCCTGTTGGCTCCATACGCAGTTTAGGGTCAGTCTTTTACAATAAAGAGAAATGCTATACAACGTGTCCATAATTCCATGTAGGTCTCACTTGGGTCCTATGGTACGTAATGGGGATTCCTTTAATTACGTTGGTGTTAGATCTGAGTTACGTCTGGTGTTCTAGATGATGTTAGAACACTGTCTGGAACATGACTTAATTAATTAAGATCTGGGTTAATTACGCACAGTTGCTTAAGCAAAATAAAGTGCAGAAAGTAAATGAACACACAATATGATATCGCAGTTCGGTGCGCACACCTTCATCAGCGGGGCCACGCCCAGACAATAAATAATTCACTATGTTCCAGAAATTACAGACACTAGACGGTCTTATTAACTTAAGGACTCCCTCCTAGACAGTGACGCCGCTGTGACGAATCTCCACAGTAATTGTTTAGCGTGCACCACACGTCTTCTATTCACCTGACGAACTCCCTTCGACCGGCAGAGCTTCCTTCCGAAAGTAACAAATCCCTCTCCCGAATGACGATCTCAATAACTCATAAAAACTCACAAACGTCTCTCTGAATATTTTATCAGTAATAAGCTCTCAAATTCACAGAATTTTTCTCTGAAAATATTATATTAAATCGATACCACGAATGAGCATCCTAGAGCCGTTTATATAGAACTTGTACTCCAAGACAACCTCAGATAACTTCATCAATATCTAATAGTTATCTCCTCTTTAACCAACTGCTCTATCCGGATATTTTCTTTAATTATCCCATGTTTGCAGCACTAACTTTATTCTTCAAATATAATTCAAACTTCAAATCTCCATGCGTAACTTCATTATCTCCACGTGTACAATATCTTTACAATGGCTTAGTTATCATATTGGCTCCATGTGGATAACATCATGTAATGCAAGCCACTTTAAATTTCAAACATCACCCAAATTTCAAATGTGCAATATATATATATATATATGGAATTTTCTCTTGCCAAATCAATCTTCCATTGCAATTCGAATTCAATTTAAATTCAGATTCAACCAAAAGTCAAAAACCGGATAATCATTACAATAAAATCTCCACATAATCTTTTTGATCCTTATCTCTTTTTAGAATCCCATTTAAATTCAAATAACCAATACATTATCTTCATTTGATCAAGGCCTTATCTTTATCTCTCCAAATCTGATTCCAAATCTTCTTTTGCAATACGAAATCTTTTTGAACCTGTTTTTTGAATTTTTATAAAATTACCAATAAATTGCCAACTAATAAAAATACCTAACAAATATGATATAATGCTCTTTTCCTTTTAGAAGTCATGTTCAAATCTAATGAAAATAACATGCTATCTCAAATATTCAAATTTGATATCAATAAACTTTACCGATTCAATTAGCCAAAACCTTTGAAATCATTAGTCGTAGTCTTCAAACTCCAAGTATAAGAAACTATATAGGTAAAGGAGTACTTTGTTATCTACACAACAAGGTATCATTTCGCAGTACTTCTTTTAAGAAATATTATTGAGTTTCAGACTAATTACTGGTGGGTGATCTTATTTTTGAATTGACACAGTAACGCTTAGAGGGGGGGAGGGGTTGTGTCTCTCAAGGTGAGGAAATAATGGTACTATTATGTCTACACCACTTGACGCTAATGACTCTTACTCGCAAGGAATCAATGAATTCAACATAAGGGTTTTAGCTAGCATGGGCTCCATAAAATGTTGGGGTACATTTACTCATAAGCACTATTGCAAGGAATACAAGTCCTTAGATGATGCCAAGATGCAATTTGTACCCAAAAAAACATGCTTGAGATGACCAATCTCAACCATATTCCAAGCTTCTCTCAAAACATGCACTGCAAAAGGGACCTTTTTTCAAATATTGAAATTAAGAACAGAAAAATGAATAAACATTGGAGATTTTTTTGCATTTGAAATGATTTATCATTGGGGACCCAGTTCTCACCATTCAATTTTGTAACAAAAAACTTACTTAAAATGGGAAGGCAACAAAAAACCAAAAGAATTTCGAATCTATAGTTTCTTGCTAAAAAAATGAACATGAACTGATCATGTCTGATCATAATTATTCATTGCAACTAGCATAGTGTGAGGCTGGCCAAGGCCCTGAAATATCCATCAAATGTCAAGTCTTTTGATGAAACTTTGATGAAACAGATAAAACTATACTAGATAAAACTTTCAGACATTATTACAAGTTATTAAAGTCTGATGACTACATATATGGGAGACAAGGGCTGGTTGGTGGGCACAATTCTCTCCACTATATCTCACTCCCAAAATGAATGATGAACTTATAAGCTTTTCTATGAATTACTACTAATCAATGAGGTTCAACTACATGAACTCACTTTCCCTTTGCTCTACCCACACTCAGGTCATGTCTCTATTACATCACTATCATCGACCCCTTTTCGTTTTAAGGGTACGTTTGGTGGAAGGAAAAGAAAATACGAAAAGAACAATAACATAACTTAAATTATTACAGGAGACAGAGGAAAGAGAAGACCTTTCTCTTGTGTTTGGTGTAGAATCCCTACTTTAACCGCTCCATTAAAATTGAGTTTTTAAAAGATTTAAAACGTCTCGCAATATTCAATCCATTATATTTTCTTGCTTTCTTTTCTACCAAACAAACTAAATAAAAACTTTCCACTAATCTCTCTACCCCTATACCTCCTTTCGCTTTTTAATTTTAATCCTATCAAACCACACTCAAAAATTTCTCAAAGATAAGATCTACTCTATTTAAGCTTTGATTTCCAGTCAATAACTCACTAGGACAGTCAAACTGAGAAGGCAGATTTCAGTGATCATCTTTTCCTTTATTGCCAGGTACTCTTTCATAGATGTTTAATGCTTATCTCCACTAAAATCATTTTCCAAGGACAGAATTCTTAACCACTCATGATGTCAAAGGAAAGTCAAAGATGAGGCTTATGCAAAGGTGAAGAGATCATTCCCAGTATGAACTGTTGGCATCTAAAGAATTTTGAAAAGAAATAAATCTCAACTTTGTTATTCATTAATCATTATTCATTCCGCAGCCTAAAATCTGCACAAAAAATATTTTCTGCTTCCTCTTTTGGTGGAAAAAGAAAAAATAAAGGCTCCGTTCATTTTATCAATTCGAATCTAGAGTTGAAATTTTATTACAGTAAAAAACTCTCAGAAACAATCACATTTAATTTTTTTACTACTGTAAAAAATTAACACATAAAGTCACATATCAACTCAAATTAAAAACTCGAATCAACGAACTAAACGGACCTTATCCAAAATGAAACCGGAAAGAAAGTGATTCTAAAGATTACACCTTTTTGCTTCTCTTTTCTATCATTTAAATTAATAGAGAAAAATACCACTTCATAGCAATATTCCATGAGGTTCGTCAACTAGAGCCTCTAAATTTCACACGCTTAATATGGAAGGGATGATTAGTTAATAGATGTAGTGTAGACAAACAGTTCAAAATAATGCACATAGATGTACACATTTTTTTCTTTTTTTTTTGGACAAATTAAATAATTATTTGAAGAAAAAGTTAACTTCCTTTTTTCCTTCAATTGCTAGTTATAAAAAAAAACAACTTTGCTTCTTCATAAGCTGTAAATTCCTTTACTTTTTAGAGTGTTTTTCTAGTAGGATTGGCAAAATAAAATACTGATAATTATCTATTTTTAGCCATTAAATTTGTATATAAGAAATTGTTTTATTTTATATACATATTTAATTTAATGTGATTTTAATCAGATCTAACGATAATAAACCGATTCTATTAATAAAAAGTCATACTACTATCTTTTATAGTTGTGAGTCCCCTTACCGTTTCGAACTAGACTACCATTTGCTGACATTGATTTTATTGGTTATATCTAGGTTGCAGGACATAAAATGGTAAACTATAGTTTTAAATTTGGTAATTTTTTCTCTCACATTACAAATTGTTGTAATATGTCCCATTTTAATAATGATTGAGTTAATTTGGTGACGAAAAAGCATGTTTGATGACAAATTTTAACATCACAATTCAAATAGTAGCATAAAACTCTCAATTCTCAACTCTTAAGCCCTTAAACGTGATTAAAAAAATCAAAGCAAAATTGATAAAATAGAGCAATTATAACAATTTTGCAAATTGAGGGGCAAATTGCGATAATCAAAAGCTCATGAGGTAAGTTGTCAAAATACTACAAATTCAATGGTAAATGTACAAATACTTCCACGTGGACTATTATTATCCAGACCTCAAAACAGTGGTATTCTATTTTTTAAATAGTATAAATATTTAATTTATAAATTTAAAATTATAATTTAAAATTATAATTAATTTATATATATTTTTTATAAAAAAATATTATAATAAATAATAAATTATAATTCGAATTATGATACGAGTTTTACCATAAACGCAGCGATAACTTTTTGGCGCGACTGAATCCACCTCATACAATATGAAATATGACACATTTCCCATGTCAACGCTCGCTCCTCAATTCCTTCTCTGTCCGTCGAAACCATTCCTCTCCGGTGCCGATGGCCTCCGACGATAGCCAATCGGCGCTCACCTTTCTCGGGACCGGCGGCTCGGGCTCCGTCCCCAGCGTAAGTTGTCTCATCCAGCCCTCCGACCCTCCCTGCCCCGTTTGCTCTCCGGCCTTGTTCCTTCCGCCTGAGAAAAACCCTAATTACAGGTAAAATCCCCGATTTCTCATCGTTAGAATCTTGCTATCGCGCTTTTTGTGCGAAGAAAGATTGACGTTTTCGAAGTTTTGGTATTGTTTATGATGAGTGTGTGTGTGTGTGTGTTTTTTTTTTATTTTTTTTATTTTTTTTAAGGTGCAATTCGTCTCTTTTGTTTGATAATCGCTTAAGCGATGGAAATCGCAGCTATATACTGATTGATGTTGGGAAGACATTCAGAGAACAAGTTCTTAGGTGGTTTACTCTCTATAAAATTCCTAGAGTAGACTCCGTGAGTAATCTTTGATGCTCATTTTTCTTTCTTTTTTTTTTCTTTTTGGTATTTTGCTTATGTGGGTTTGCATTTATTTTTCCTTTTGTTTACGATTTAATTGTTACTATTACTTTTGTTGATGAGTTAAAATCCGTTTTGCAGTGAAAAGTATTGAGACGGATTTTCGATGTAATGCAGATTATTTTGAGCCATGATCATGCTGATGCAGTTCTTGGTCTGGATGATATACGTTCTGTTCAGCCATATAGTCCCACAAATGATGTTGATCCCGCTCCCATTTATTTAACTCAGTTTACAATGGAAAGGTATTAAATTAAAAGCTTGTATTAATGTGCATATTACTTCTCTGATATGATTTTGGTGCTTTTCATGTTCTGCTGAAAGAAGGGCTCAGACTGCAGTTCACAATAGTTGATTTGAGTAATAAACTGGGTTTCCATAAAACTTGTGTTAAGAAATTGCCCAAATTTGATCTGCACACTCACGAGAAAGAAAAACGCACAGAAACTGAAACCAGAAAATCAATCTCAAACAAAGAAAGTAAAACAAGATCAGGAGACACAAGATTACTTGATTTGGACCCAAAACAGATCCTCCATCCAAGGTTGGAGCTTCTGCTCCTAGTCCAATCCACTATCAGAGAAGATTACAGCCACCAATTTCAGCAACTGCTCTCAACACACCAGGAATTCTCTCTCACAAGAATACCTCTCAATTTCTCTCTAATTTGCTCAGGAAACAAGCACTCACGAGAGAGTCCAATTACACCCAAGAATTTTCTCCCTCTAGAAAATTCTCTCTCTAACTCTCGAGTAATCACAAAACTGAAATTTGTTATCTCTCTTATTCTATTGAATACATCCTCTCTTATATGTTACATAAACAGCCAATAAGAAAGTGACAACTAGGCATAGCATTATAACCAATCAAGTAAGCTGCAGTCTTCACTTGAACTTATTCTGTTGTAACTAACTGTAATACTTATCAATTGGAGACATCTTCAATAAAAAATCTCCACCTTGGCTTCAATTGATTAGAGAGAATGATTCTTGGACTAGAAGCACTCCAGATATCCTGTGCTACATAACCAGTATCCTGAGCAAGTCCAATGCATATTTGAACTTGCTAATAGGAATGACTTTGGTTAACATATCTACATGATTAACATCTGTAGAGATTTTAACCACTTCAACTCATCCTCTGGCCAAAATATCTCTTACAAAATGTAGTCTGACGTCAATATGTTTTGTCCTTTCATGGAATACACTGTTCTTCGAGAGATGAATTGCACTATGAGAATCACAGTAGATAGGTGCTGATATTTAGACAAAACCCAATTCACTCAAGAAACCTTGCAGCCACAGGGCTTCTTTTATTGTCAAGGCAATATATTCAGCCTCAGTGGTAGATAATGCTACGACATGTTGCAAATTGGACTTCTAGCTTATAGTATTGCCTCCAATGGTGAAAACATAACCAGACAATGACCTCCTTTTGTCTAAATCATCAGTGAAGTCAGAGTCACATTACACTTTTATTTCACAATTGCTATTCTTGTCTAAAATGTACACTAACCTTAAGTTTGCAGTACCCTTAACATACCTCAGTAGCCATTTTACAGCTTGCCAATGGCTTCTTCCACGTTTGCTCATGAATCTGCTCACAAGTCGTACTCTATAAGCTATGTCTGTGTGCTAACCATGGCATACATGAGACTTCCCACGCTGTTGGAATATGGCACATACTTCATTTGCTCTGCTTCTATAGCAGAATCTTCATCTCTAACAGCCATTAGTTTGAAGTGAGCACCTATGGGAGTTGTCACAAGTTTGGCATGTTGAATACCAAAAATTTATGTTACTTTGTTTAAGTATCCTTCCTGAGATATTGACAATATGCCTTTGTTTTTGTCTCTGAAGATTTCCATGCCCAAAATCTTCCTTGCAGGCTTCCTTCATGTCGAATTAAGACTTCAATAATAGCTTCAATTTCTGAATATCAGCTTGATTATTGCAGGCTATTAACATATCATCCACGTAGATTAGGAGATAAATATAGGATTTGTCCTTCAGCTTTGAAAAATCGACACAACTTTCATGCCTGCTTCTTGAAAATCCTTGTTTGATCATAAACTCATTGAACCTTCTATACCGTTGCCTTGGAGACTCTTTGAGTCCATAAAAGGACTTCTTAAGAAGGCAGACTATTGACTTGTCACCTTGTTCAAATCCTTCCGACTGTGTCATATACATTTTCTCATCCAAGCTGCCAAGCAAAAATGTTGTTTTGACATCTAGTTGCTCCAGCTTTAGGTTCTTCATTGCAGTGATGGCTAGAATAATCCTTATATATGTATGTTTTACCACAGGTGAAAGCACCTCATGGTAATCAATTCCCTGTACTTGGGAATAACCTTTTGCAACAAGTCTCGCCTTGTATCTAGGCAATTCAACTCCTGGTGTGCCTGGCTTCCTTTTAAAAATCCACTTACAGCCTATCACCCTTTGTCCTTTAGGCTTATTCACAAGAATCCAAGTTTGACTCTTCATGAGGGAATCCATTTCCTTGCTTTTCTTAGCTTCAGCAACAGTAACTAGCTCATTTTCACACACTGAATCAGCAGCATTCAAAGCAAAAGCTATAAGGTCAGCCTGAGCAAATCTCGAAGGAGGTTTTATCTGTATCCTAGCTCTGTCTTGGGTTAGAACATAATCAGTCAGATTATGTTTTTGACTTGGTGGATCTACAGGGCTTCTTGAATCAGTCACTGCCTCATTTGAAATCCCTGACTCTGGCGCGGGAGCTCCACCTTAATTAAGGTCTTCTATTGAATCTGTTGGAGTTTCTGGTTCTAGGGAGTGATCTGTTTCAGTGGTATCAATTTCCAGCTCCACTTGTGGCAAAGTGCCAGAGTCTGAAGTCTTTTGATTTGGGCTGTCCCTTTCCTGCATGTTAGTCTTATAGAATGCTAGTTCGTTGAAAACAATGTCCCTTCTTATGATGCATTTCCTATCCTCAATGAGCCACATTCTATACCCCTTTACCTCATCTGGATAGCCAAGAAAAATCCATTTCTTGGCTCTTGGGTTTAATTTCCCTTGGTTAACATGCACATAAGCTAGACATCCAAAGGGCCTTAAGTGTCTATAACTAGGAGCAGTCCCTGACCACACTTGTTCTGGGACTTTAAAGTTCAATGCAGATGAAGGAGACCTATTAATGATATAACAAGCTATCGAGGTAGCTTCAGCCAAAAAGGATTTAGGTAAACTAGACTCAGTTAACATGCAACTAACCTTGTTCATTATTGTCTTATTCATTCTTTCAGCCAGCTCATTTTGTTGTGGGGTACTAGTGCATGTGTGTTGCCTAGCTATCCTATTTTTTGCACAGTAAGCATCAAATTCATTGTGACAAAATAGTCCTAAGCCTCTTTATTTTCTTCCCTATTTGATTCTCTATTAATGACTTCCATTCTAGAAACTTATTGAATGCATCATCCTTAGTTCTAAGAAAATAAATCCAAACCTTCCTAGAAAAGTCATAAATGAAAGAAATGAAATATTGGCATTTAGACAGAGATAGAGGTTCTTTTGGTGAGCTCCATAAATCAGAGTGAATGTAGTCTAAGGTGGCCTTGGTCCTATGAGTTGCTGTCCCAAAACTGAGCCTGTGAGATTTTCCCAGTGCACAATTCTCACAGAATCACAAATCACTGAGTTTGCTTCTGTCCAATAGGCCTTGCTTTGCTAGTTCTTCCAAGCCTCTCATGCTCATATGAGCCAGCCTCTTATGCCACAGTTAAGTATGGTCTTTCTTAGAGGTGGTCAAAACAGATTCGCCACTTGCAGTGGATCCTTGAAGAATATAGAGTCCATGCTGCAACAGTCCGTTCATAACCACCATTATCCCCTTCATTACTTTCAAAACTCCTCCACTTGACTTGTTAGACCAACCATTTAACTCCAGCATCCCCAAGGAAATTAGATTACTTTTCAAATCTGGGATGTATCTAACCTCTTTCAAAGTTCTGACATTGCCATCCCACATCTTGATTTTCACAGAGCCAATTCCAACAACTTTACAAGCAAAGTTGTTTCCCATGAGGACTTTACCCCCATCAAGTTCTTTATAATCCAAGAACCAATCTCTTCTGGGTGTCATATGAAATGTACACCCAAAATCTAGCACCCACCCATCGTTGGGATCACTGCTAGACACAACCAAGACATCCGCACTATCAAACCCAACAGAGAGGTTTGTTGTATCAGTGCTAGCTTGATCATCTGACTTGCCATTTTCTTTTTTCCTTGAAGGACAGTTTCTCCTAATGTGTCCCTCCTTGTGATAGTGCTAACAAGTCTTCCTTCCTTTTGACTTTGACCTGGATTTCTGTCGATTCTTGTTCTAAGAATCTCTTTTCTCAAGCCTTCCTCGAATATTTAGGCCTTCACCTTGGTTCTTGGACAGTTTTCCATTTGCCTTGACATCAAGTTCTTTTGAGTACACTGTGCTCATGACCTTGTCAAAAGCCAGGGTGTCGCAATGCTGGTCGTACTGTTTGGGAAGGGAATTCAACAAGAAGATTGTATGGTTTTCTTCATCAATTGTGACTTCAAGACTTTCAAGATCCGCGATCAGCCCTGTAAATTCGTCGATGTTCTCGTCAATGGACTTGGATTCATCCATCGTAAACCCATAGAATTTCTGTTTCAGATGAATCTGATTTGGAAGAGCTCTTGTCATGAATAATTGTTCCAGCTTGTTCCACATCGCTGCAGCCGACTTTTTCTTAATCACCTTGCGAAGAATCTGGTCGTGAGGCTCAAGATTATGGCGTTTCTTGCCTTTTTCAGAATCTCAGGCTTATCTTTATCGCTAATGGAGTTTGACATTTTGGATTCACCCTTCAGAGCTTCGTTGAGACTGAAGTTTCCAAATGTGCCATCATCTTCTCTCGCCAAAGGTTGAAGTCATTCTTGCCGTCGAATTTTTTGATGTCAAATTTCAGAGTTGACATTGCAAAATTAATCAACTGGCCAAGAAGAATTAATCCTTTATTTCGGATTGAATCCGCAGCTTGAATTTGGCGACTTGAATCTTGATTGTGCCCTAGCTGGACTCTAATACCAGTTTGTTAAGAAATTGCCTAAATTTGATCTGCACAATCACGAGAAAGAAAAACGCACAGAAATCGAACCAAAAAATCGATCTCAAACAAAGAAAGTAAAACAAGATCAGGAGACACGAGATTACTTGGTTCAGACCCAAAACATACCTACATCTAAGGTTAGAGCTTCTGCTCCTAGTCCAATCCACTATTAGAGAAGATAACAGCCACCAATTTCAGCAACTACTCTCAACACACCAGGAATTCTCTCTCACAAGAGTACCTCTCAGTTGCTCTCTAATTTTCTCAGGAAACAAGCACTCACGAGAGAATCCAATTACACCCAAGAATTTTCTCCCTCTAGAAAATTCTCTCTCTAACTCTCGAGCAATCACAAAACTGAAATCTGTTATCTCTCTTATTCTATTGAATACATCCTCTCTTATATATTACATAAACAGCCAATAAGAAAGTGACAGCTAGGCGTAGCATTATAACCAATCAAGTAAGCTGCAGTCTTCCCGATTCTGTTGTAACTAACTGTAATACTTATCAATTGGAGACATCTTCAATCAACAACTTGCAATGCTGCTTATACGTTTGATTAAGTTCTTCAGGTGCAGTGGCCTATATTATGTGTTTAAAAAACTTAAAGAAAGGAAAAAAAAAAAGAAAAAAAAAAAAGAAAAAAAAAAAAGAAAGAACTTTTTTTATGTAAAAAAAAAAAGACAACTTATATGAATGCAGTTGATTATGTGTTACTAATAATTTGTTTATTAAAATATGGGATATTTCATGTTATAGACATGAATCTTATAGTTTCATATAAAAATGTTGCAATCCAATTGTACTGAAGGGATGTTTTACTGAAATGTATGAGTAACACTATGAACAAGTAAGTTCTCGATAATTCACTTGAGATGCATAGGTCTATTAAAGTCTGTTAAAATCAGATCATAAGATTGGATCACAGATTGCTCTGTTTGCAAGCTAAAAAAAGGAGATAAAAGTGTAGATGTTCACCAATGACATTTGTTTATTGCAAATACTAGTCAAGATCATGTTTCTTGTATATTTTTTTTTTCAAAAATTAATGAATGAATAAAATACTAGCAAGATCACAAAGGGTATGTTTGGTTCACGTGTTCAAGTCAGTGATTCTGATTCATTGGTGGGAACTTTGTGAGAGAAGAAATTTTTTAATTCAAATTCTTTGAGATGAAAAATATTGTAGCAGAATCAGAATCATGGGTTCAAGTATAGGAACCAAAAGGGATCAAAATATCACAAGATGTCTTTTGAAACTACGAAATTTCTGATATTTGGTATTCTTTGGATATGGAAACAAAGTTGTATTGAAATGGAGATCAAACTAGCAAACTTTTAACTCTTTCACGAGTGGGTGAAAGATCCATCGAATTTGTGGTGCGCGCGCGCGCGATAGAGGATGTGTGTGAATGTGTACTTTCTCTTCAACATGCGTTCTTAGAGTCCCACCTCCTCCAGAAGAATGTGAAAGAAAGAAATGCCCTCTGGATAAATATACAGACTGGAGCCAAGGATAAAGCATTATGGTTAATATCCCTCTGACGGTTCACCATATTGAGATTAGTGCCCAAAGTTGGCCTTCTGACAGTTGGGATATCACTGTGTACTTGCCACAGGACAAGGTTGAAGACTTTCAGAAGCGTAGTAGATATCAACCTGCGAGTTGTTATTTCCTGCATTTGGTCATCCAATTTAGGCCTTGATATTTTTTGTCCTATAGGCACAACTCAACTTTGGTTTGGAACCTGCCTAATGGATCACTATCCATTTCGCAAAAATTCGGTTGCCAAACTGCTGAATTATATAAGATAAGCAGTGGCTACTTCAATAACTTATCTAGATATTTAGTTGATTGAGCATCATATATGTATTCCTTTAGACATACACACGCACTGAAAATGTGAATGCAGTTTGATACAATTTTCTCGAATTAACATGGTATTGTTGTTTCTGCTAAATTATTTAAGATGAGCATTAGCTGCTGAAATAACTTGTCTAGTTATTGAGGTGATTGGGCTTCATATTTGTATCCCTTAAAACATACCCACGCACTGAAAATGTGGATGCAATTTGACTCAATTTTCTCGAATTAACATGGTATTGTTGTTTCTGAAACAGCGTCGCGATGAAGTTTCCTTACTTGGTCCATAAAGAGGTAAAAGAAGGCCAAGAAGTGAGACGAGTAGCAAAGTTTGAGTGGAGGATAATTGATGATAACTGTGAGAAGTCATTTGTTGCATCAGGCCTGCAATTTGTTCCTTTGCCAGTTAGTCTCTGGTCTCTGTAAATCTTTCTCAATTATCATATGTAACTCTCGTGTATTCTCTATTTTCTCAGTAGTTGTTTCCCATTGTAGGTGTTGCATGGGAAAGGTTATATATGTTTGGGCTTTCTCTTTGGTGAAAAAGGTAGAGTGGCTTACTGATGGAAACCTTTCTGATTAACGAAGAACAAGATGAATGAATGAAGTTTATTCAACAAGGAAGAACACTTTACACAGGTGATATTTGAGAGATCACCGCTTTCCTATACTCTCCAATCTCTATTCTTCCCAAAGATCCCTAACTTCTCAACCTATCTCTTATTCATAGACTTCCCTAGATTCCCCCGCAGCTTCTTCTACAAGTTTCCTTTACAACTAACTCCTAACAACTAACTAAATTCAGTTACAAGCCACATCAGCCTAATTACTAATGTAGCATTTCTTCTTTCTCCTTGCTCCGCTGTTTGGTCCCCCAGTTCTTCCTCAACTGTTGCGTCAGCTCCATCCCCATCTTCTTCATCCATCGCCGCAATGAGAACCTGCAGCTGTGGGTTTTTACAAACATGCCCAAACCGCCATTTCTCCTCACACCGGAAGCATAATCAACGCTCCCTGCACCGCTGCAATTTAGCATCGGAAATTTTCTTCCTAAAGCTGTCATGTTTCCTCGTGGACTGAGAAGAACTATTTTCTTGCCTCTTGTTAACCGACACGCCCGATTGGCTAGAGCTGGTACGTGTCAACTCTGGGGATCCCTTATTTCTTTCCACCAGTTTCGGTGGATTCTAGCTAGAGCCACTACCCGGCCAGCTGGAGCTACTACTTGTAGTGCCTCCAAACATTGAGTTCTTCAGCCCAACTGTTCTGTAAAATCCAGCCCTTTCAGCACTTGTTCTCGCTTGTGAAGTTCTCAACATCTAGGTCCGCTCAAGGGCCCAATTCTTTTCTTCAATTTTTTGGGCCAAATCCATTACTTGGACGAGGGAAGTAGGCTTCACCATACGGATTTCAGCCTTAATCTCCTCTGCTAAACCATTCGACAAGGCTCCAATCAGGAATTCCTCTTCCGCCTCTCTCAAGGGAGTTGAGAGCAGCTCAAACTTCTCACGAAATTCCGCCACCGTCGAATCCTGCCGCAAAGCGATGAACGCCTCGTAATGGTTGCCAGTTTTTGAAGATCGGAACCTCTGCATCACGGAGTCCTTGAAAACCGGCCATGAATTGTTACCAGACCTGGATTCCATCCATTGGAACCAGTTCAATGCTTTTCCCTCAAGTCCGATAACAGCCGCCGCCACCCGTTCAGCCTCCTCAATGCCTTGGATCTGGAAGTACCGCTCGAGCCGAAACAACCATCCATGCGGATCTTCGCCGTTGAAGAGAGGAATCTCCTCCTAACCGCTCGGCGCTGGTCCATTACCGGAATGATTCACCGCCATCGTAGTATCACCACCTTCATCACCGCTTGAAGTCGATGCTTTAGCTTGCTCTGCCTATGGATTCGCATTGCCTCCCGATCTCATCCAACCGGTAAGCTCCTTCATATACTCCTTCACGGCTCCCATATCCTCTGAAAGTTGGCCGACAACCGTTTTGAGTTCTCCGACGTCTTTCTCAACAAATCTTCCATCCATTTTATCGACTTTTGAAGCTACCATTCCCAGACGAAACTGCTCTGATACCAGTTTGATGGAAACCTCTAGGATTAACGAAGAATAAGATTGTCGGCAGAGAGAGCCAATTAGGGATTTTATCCCGATTTAGTCATGATCCTAGAAGAGTATTAGGATGTGTATCTAATGTAAATATGGAAAGTCAACTCAGTAGAATAGAGAATAGGAAACTGTAAATATTTTATTTTATTCCTTTCCTTTTTTGTGTAATCCCGTGTACCTCCTCTTACCTATAAAGAGGGCATTGTATTCATTCAATAAGATTATTCTAGACACAATTTTATTCTATCTTCTAAGTAAGATGAATGAATGAAGTTTATTCAACAAGGAAGAACACTTTACACAGGTGATATTCGAGAGATCACCACTCTCATGTACTCTCCAATCTCTATTCTTCCCAAAGATCCCTAACTTCTCAACTTATCTCTTATTTATAGACTTCCCTAGATTCCCCCGCAGCTTCTCCTACAAGTTTCCCTTACAACTAACTCCTAACAACTAACTAAATTCAGTTACAATCCACATCATCCTAATTACTAATGTAGCACTACCCCTGGCTCTGGTTCTTATCACTTACATATCTGATGTTTCACACATCCCTGCAAGCACAGAGTATGGTGTGTCTGCTGGCTTCATTTCTGCACATTTATATTCTTATTTAATACCATTTCATATATACATACTAAAGAATTCATGAAACTTATCTAGTTAATTTCCTATCTAATGATATGATCTCAAATATTTTATTTTAACTTAAAAGGATGTCATTTTTTTCCCTATTTAGGCTAGTTAACAGCTAAAGGTTTATAGAGGTTAATGAACCCAAATATAGGTGAATTTTCAAACAATTGTGTTTGGTTCTGGCTCATCAATTTTTAATTTGTATTGAAGTATTTATGGGCTTTTTTAGATCAGAGAGGCTAGGGATTGATAGATAATTTAAAAGATGGGATGTTTAGGAATGGCCCCTCCTTTGTGGCTCTTACTGATATCTTACTATCTTGGCAGTTACTGCATTTTTTCCCATTTAATTTCTGTAAATTGTGGAAAAAAAATGAGGAAAAATATTTTATTAATTCCAATAATTTACACAAGCCACTAAAGGGTTATATATTCACGAGTTAGATAAACTCATTGGAGAAAAAAACTTATCCCTAATTCTGTTGTTAGCCGGTCACCTAGAATCTAGGAAATAGATAATCACATGATCCCTAGCCCTAGCCGGAGATAATGCTTGCTTCTAGAAGATAATGTTAAAGATAATGCGGTTATTTCCCACTCTCCCTCAAGCTGGTGAATAGGTGTCTCATTCCCAGCTTGGTTGTAATTTCTTGGAAGGTAGTACTATTAAGCCCTTTGGTGAAGATTTCAGCTAGTTGATCTCCTGTGGGAACATATGGTGTGCAGATCAATCAACTATCTAGCTTATCCTTGATGAAGTGTCGGTCCACCTTGACATGTTTTGTTCGGTCATGTTGTACTAGATTATGTGCAATGTTGATTGCTGATTTATTATCGCAGTAGAGTCTCATCGGCCCACTCCATTTAATCTTCAAGTCCTCCAATATGATCTTTAGCAACAACAATTCGCAAACTCCTTGTGCCATTGCCCTAAACTCAACTTCTGCACTTGATCGAGCTACAACATTTTATTTTTTACTTCTCCATGTCACCAAGTTGCCTCCAAGGAACGTACAATATCTAGAGATAGACCTTCGATCCATGGGAGATCCTGCATAATCTGCATCCGTGTAAGCCTCAAGGACAAGTTCGGAGTTCCTCTTGAACATTATTCCCTTTCCTGGGTTGGCCTTTAGGTAACGAAGCACTCGATAGGATGCTTGTAGATGGACCTCCTTGTGATTATGCATGAATTGGCTGATGATGCTTACAGAATATGCTATGTCTGGCCGGTGTGTGCAAGGTTAATGAGTTTCCCAACTAGTCTTTGGTACATTTCTCTGTCTACTGTTTGATCACTTGTGGCTTCTCCAAGTTTATGGTTCGCCTCTATAGGAGTTGCGGCTGGTTTACTAGCGAGCATTCATGTTTCTCTGAGAAGATCTATGACATATTTCTGTTGTGAAATGAAGATGCCTTGTCTTGAATGTGCCACCTCAATTCCAAGAAAGCATTTCAACCTTCCCAATTCCTTAATCTCGAACCCTTTGATCAGGCGCTGCTTCAAGGCTTGTTTCTCCCTCACACCGTTTCCTGTTACAATAATGTCGTCTACATAGACTATCAAGACTGTGACTCCCCTTGAATCCGAGTGTTTGATGAAGAGGGTGTGGTCTCCCTGACTTTGCTTATATTCGGTGGCTAGCATCACTTTGGTGAATCTTCCAAACCAAGCACAGGGTGACTATTTTAAACCGTACAATGCTTTCTTTAACTTGCATACTTTTTCTTTTTCAACTTCTCTAAACCCAGGGGGAATGGTCATATAAATTTCTTCTTCCAAGTCCCCGTGAAGGAATGCGTTCTTCACATCATATTGTTGTAGGTCCCAGTTATAATTGGCTGCCAATGACAATAAGATCCTTACCGTGTTCATTTTTGCGATTGGCGCGAAAGTCTCTTGATAATCCACCCCATATGTCTGAGTGTACCCTTTAGCAACTAGTCTTGCTTTGTAGCGCTCTAATGACCCATCTGCCTTGAATTTTAGAGAAAAGACCCATTTGCACCCCACTGTTTTCTTTCCCCTTGGAAGGTCCACTATCTCCCCATGTTCCGTTTTTTTCCAAAGCATCCATTTGCACTCCCATAGCTTTTCACCATTCTTCCTTAAATAATGCCTCAGACAAAGTGTTTGGAATAACAATTTCATTTAAACTTGTAAGAAAGCTTTTATGTGATGGTGAAAACCTCTCAAAGGATACAAACTGAGATAGTGGGTATAATGGCCTCTTGGTACATTCGTGGGTTCCTTTTCTTATAGCTATAGGCAATTTTTGGTTAAGTGTTTGAAGGTCAGGGGATGAAGGTGTGTTCTACCAGTAAAGGCAAAGTAGGTTCAGAAACTGTTACCTCATTCTCAAGAGTCAGGTTGGAGATTTGGACTTGTGTAGATTCAACGGCTGGGCCCTGTTTCCTTGAGTATGTCTTTCATTTTCCAAAGTGTATATGATCAAGAGTCTTATCTTGTATAAGAGACACAAATGGTACTGGGGAGGTTGTGGCAGGTTTTGAGGGTGCTGCGGATTCCACAGGTTTAGGAGTGGGAGGATAGGATGATGAAGAAGAGGATGGTAGATCAAGAAGGAAAGAATCCTTATCTTCTATAATAGAGGGCTCCCCCTGAAGATAAGGTTGAGCAAAATATGGTTTCTCTTTTGCAAATGTGACATCGGCCGAGACAAAGAGCTTTTTGGTGGGTGGATGATAGCATTTGTACCTTTTTGTGTGGAAGGGTATCCTACAAAGACACATTTGACAACTCTAGGATCCAATTTTCCCCAATTGTTGCTGTGGACATGAACAAATGAAGTGCACCTAAAAATTCTAGGTGTAAGGTTGTTGGTTGTATTGATGCCAGGATAGAATTTAGAAAGAGCTTCCATTGGACTTTTTGACCCTAAAACCCTTGAAGGAGTTCCGTTTATGATATAGGCAGCGGTAAGAGCGGCTTCCCCCCAATAGTGTTTTGGTACGTTATGATGAAACAATAGTGCCTGGGTAGTGTTTAGGAGGTGACCATTTTTTCTTTCTGCAACCCCATTTTGTTGTGGAGTTTTTACGCAAGATGACTCATGGATGATTCCTTCTTTTTGGAAAAAAGGAGACAAGAACTTATTAAAGTAGTCTTTTGCGTTGTCAGACCTATCTCTTGATTTTAGTACCAAACTGATTTTGAATCATCAAGTGAAAATTGGGAAAGATGTTACTCACATCGGATTTATTTTTGAGCAAAAAGATCCAGGTAACTCTAGTACAATCATCGATAAAGGACACAGACCAACGTGAACCAGAGATATTTGGAGTAGTGGAAGGGCCCCAGATATCATTGTGGATTAGATAGAAAGGAGAACATCTTTTATTACTAATAGGAAAGGAAACACGAGTGTGTTTTGCATACTCACAAATGTCACAATGAAATCCCCTAATACTAATCCCCTAAATAAAGAAGGAAACATAATTTTTAAAATTGCAAAAGACAGATGGCTAAGGCGGTGGTGGTGCAACCAAATGAGATCCTTTTTGGAGGAAGAAAAAATGAGGATGTTAGGCTTTTCTTGATCATATGTGAAAAATTCGACGTCTCAAGGTAATAGAGTCCATCCTTTTCCTCAGTACGTCCAATCTTCATTCCCGAATCTTGATCCTAAAACTTACAATAAGAAGGGTAAAACGTAACATGGCAATATAAGTCTTTTGTAAGCTTTTGAATAGACACAAGGTTGGTGGATAGTTTTGGGACATGTAAAACATTTTTGAGGATAAGACTAGGTGCGATATGGACATCCCCTACCCCGGCTACTGTGGTTGTGGTTCCATCGACAATCGTAATTTTTCTATTACTTGGACACGGGGTGTAAGTTTTAAATTGGTTTGAGGCATGTGTCATGATCCGTAGCTCCCGAGTCTAAAATTCATGAATTCACAAACAATTTATCTGAAGCATTTAGTCCACAAGAGTATGAGTGCTTACTCGAGAGTGCCAAAGAGCAAGTGTTGGAGGATGGTTTCTCAAGGGTTCCCAGCAAGTTCCTCAATTTTTCTATCTCTTCATTATTCAACTCGCTATGGTCTTGAGTTTGAGCTTGATCTTGACTTACCTGGGAGGTCTTATATGCTTGGCCTTGTTGTCGTTGCTGCTGTCCTCCTTTGTTTCCCCATTCACGGCTAGTTGTTGAAGGTTTTCCATGTAATTTCCAGCAGCACTCTCTTGTATGTCGTGCCTTTTTACAGTAGGTACATTAGAGATCTTCTCGATTTGCTCCCTTTTTATCCTCTGTTTTTCTAGGTTCAGCTTTTGGTGGTTGTTCCAAGACTAGACCCCACTGTTTGTTACTAGAGGTTGCGAGTGCAGATCCATCAACTGCTTCAGGTTCAAGCATCACTCCTCTGCGACTTTCCTCAGCCTGAATTAAAGCTATTGACTTTTCCAAGGACGGGATTTCTAACTTCCCTAGGATCTGGATTTGTATAAGATCAAATTCGGGGTTTAAACCTGTAAGAAAGTCATAAACTCGATCTCTTTCTATGAATCTTTTCACTGCCTCTGCACAGTCACTGCACATCAAGTCAATTACCCTGTAATAATCTAGTTCTTGCCACTAGTTTTGCAGAA